AAAAGGAGGGGGGGGGAAGCCAAGGTGTTGTTTGGGGGGGGGGGGACGACGACTCCAAGACTTTATGTTAAAAAAATAATAATTTTTTTTTTAACATAAACAGCATTAAAACAACATGTCCCCTTTAAGAGTGAGTGCAAGGATAGGAACAGGGGAGTCGTTGAGCACTAAGACCCAGGAGAGTCATTGCTTGGTCTTGTGCCGGCAGCCTTGGGGAACAAGGTATGCATGGGGTCTGGGATCGGGGGGGCTGGGGTATTGGAGGCCAGGTTTGGGTGCTGAATGTTTGTAGGGCTGGCAGGTGCCCAGCATTTTCGCCTCCTGGCCGGGGGGGAGGGGAAGAACCAGAAAATACCGAACATCTTAGGTGTTCAGTATTTTCTGAATTTCTTTTTTTTTTTTTTTTACCAGATAAGAGGCGAAAATACCAGACACCTGGCAACCGTACTCAGGCCTACAATATCAATTTCATATTTAGAAGCTAGCACACTGCAATATCACTACCAAATTAAAACAAAATACCTCAATTGTATTTGCTTGCGTTTCTGTAGCTCTTGATTTCTAAGTTCTTCCAAACGTCTTAGTTCTTCCTGGCGCCTCATGAGATCTGCAAAATGTTAAAATATTATACAAGGCCCTCAATTATTCTTTGACTTCAGTGGTTACAAGACTTCCATCACCAGTAATGGAATGCAAATTGCAAAATGTTCATTGCTATTACAAAGTGATTTCATTTTTAAATTAGAAATGTACCATTCTGTTATTTAATCTGAACATGATTATGGAATGAGCTACTATCTCTTATCAAAATTACCAACGCAGTTAACTAATGTCATTTACCTTGTTTAAAACAAATGTGCAAGAACCCCCAAGAACAGGCAGATGAAAAGTAGCTGGCACTCAAAGAAGGACTCATCATAATCATGAACAGAAAAAGATTTAAAACCTGAGGTATCTCCCTTACAGTACTCTTTTACTATTAAATAGATCAACTCTGGATATTCCTGTTCATATAAATATCCAGTTCTTTTCTAATACAAATAAGTTCTTGGCCAAAACAATATGCAGTGGCAATGAGTTCCATGGACTAATTACACACTGAAAAATCATTCCCTTTTATCAGTTTGGAATTTGCAACTTTAAATTTAATTTTATGTCCACTTATGGTCCTTCTTGCGTTACGAGCCTGTGCTCATCAGTTAATCTTCACAGTTACATGCAGGTGCCTTCCTCCCCATGCTGTTGCCTCTGTATCAAAGATGGAACCATGGGGTAGGGGCACAGGCAGGAGCCAGTATGCGTGGGGAACTGGCTTTTAAGCCAGCTCTCTGTGTGTACAAGCTCCCATGGAGCTGCATGCTCCTCACACCATTGTCTCTGTGCCAGGGTGAGAGGGTCAAAGCTTCAGATGTGTACCAGCTCCCAAAAAGCCTCTTACTTCATATGTGTAAATATGTAACCACTGAAAACTTAAGTGGTTACACGTTTACCAAAATATACACATTTTAACATCCCTACTATCAACATGATGCAGTTCTAGGGATGTAACAGACTAGACAACTTTCCAATAAGCAGAAGCTTATCACACATTCGATTAGTAATAAGACAAGTCGCTTCCCCCGCTTGCTGCCTCGCGAGCCGGCCGGGGGGGGGGGGGGGGGGAGAGCGGGTGCTGGGGGAAGCTGGCTTAAAAACCGGTTCTCCCCAGTACCATCTCCACGGGAGGCAGAGAAGGTAGACACACAGAAGGGAACGGCACGAGCAGGGACTGAAGCAGTCTCTGCTCATGCTGCTTCTGCTGCAATGGAGCTCTTGTACATTTCAAAAGCAGAAGCCCCACAGGGAGCGCAGTGCCAGAGGGGGAGTCCCCCGCTGGCCCTGCCTCCCTTCCTTTTGAAATGTACAAGAGCCCCGATAGGGCTCTTTTGTACGTCTGAAAGGCTCAGGAGCCACAGGAAGTGTGGGGTCAGCTGGGAGTTCCCCGCTGGTCCTGCGCTCCGTACAGGGCTTCTTCTTTTGAACTGTAGCAAGAGCCAGGGAGGGCTCTTGCTACAGTTCAAAGGCAAAGGCGCCCTTATAGACTAATCCAATAGTTGATGGAAATCCCATTGACTATTCAATTAGTTAATTAATCTAAATTTAACATCCCTATGCATATCCCTTCCCAAGTCAACAAATAATTTTAGAACACTCCGAAGTGTACAGGCAGTTAACTTTTTCCTTACAAAGTGCAATAATTTACACTTATTGACTAAATTTCTTCTGACATGTCATTGCCTACTGAACTACCTTAATGAAATCCCTATGAAGTTCTCTCTTCTCTAGACATGAATAACCTAAATAACTTGCCATTTGCATACCATTACCTCACTGCTCACCACTCTTCCCAACTTGTTAATATATTTAATACTGGACTTAAAAGCTCCTTCAAATCTTGGTTGTGTACCATTTGAACTTGGTAAAGAGAGGTAAATGGGTGTTCTCTTGGCACAACAAAGTATATACTTTTGACAAGTACTGCAGTTTTTTAGTACAGCGTGAAGTAATTTAAGCAACATTCATGCTACGTGAAGACATCTTTTCGTGAACTAGGTACTGTATGGTGAGAACTGTTGACTAAGCATAGAAAGTGGAAGCTAAAGCCACAATTCTGGTACCCTGTAGAACTCTTAGCTCATAATGTTCATAGTGTAACAGATAATGTTTAAAACATTTGTTTGATCAACTTTTTACAACATCCTCATAAAAAAATGTCAGCAATCCAAAACTGATGAAGAAGCTGATAAGGCTCAAGTGGATACTCTTACTCCAGTCTGAAAATGACAGTTCAGTAAACTGGAAAGTTATGCTAACATCAGATCTAGGATTTCTGAAGATAAACCTGTCAAACCCATTATGGGTTTGACTGAGTCTCAACTGATCATCCAAACCAGCAGAATCAAGACAGCATGTATAGAAGAATTCCCAATTCCAGTTCAAGAAAAAAGGACTCCACAAAAAACAATGAAGCTTATTTGACCTGGAAGCAGAACTGGTGACAATGGATGTTCAGCTTAATAACAATCAGAGTCCATCCATCCATCACAAGAACAGAGAATCTGATCCCTAAATAGTAAGTTATCAAATCAATTACTGAATATAAGCAGAGTAAAAGAAATTGAATGAAATTTAACAGTTCAAAGTGCACTGAGAGACTAACAAGAATTTTTGCTATAAACAGAACTTATAAATTGGCAGAAGAAGAGAAAGATCTGGGTGTACTAGCTGATCACAGGATGACTGAGCAGCCGAGCCCAGGATGCATCAGATGAGATATTTACAGCAGACATAGGGCAGCGTCAGTACCATTATACAAGGCACAGGTGAAGCCTAATCTGGATTACTAGGTGCAATCTTGGTCTCCAATGTTTCAGAAAGATCAAAGTAACAGAGGACTAGTAAGATGATCAGAGGAATGGAAAACATACCTTATGAGCAAACTCAAAGAGGTTGGCTTTTTTAACCTAATCAATGAAGGCTATGGGGAGATATGACTGCTCTCTACAAATACATCAGAAGTATTAATATCAGGGGGAGAAGTTATTTAAATTAAGAGTTGATGTTGACAAAAGAATAGTTATCAATTGGCCATCAATGCATTTAAACTTGAAATAAGACTAAGGTTTCTAACCATCAGAATGAAAATCTGGAACAGCCTTTCAAGAAGAGCAATGGGGGAAAAATTAACTGGCTTCAAGACTCAGCTTGATATGTTTATGGAAAGAATGTTCTGACAAGACTGCAAACAATGGTCATAGCCAATCTGCAACTTCTAGTAGCAAATAATCCCAATGGCCAGTGATGGAAGGCTAGATTGGGAGGGCTCCGAGTTACTTTCTGAGAGTCTGGTTGTTGGATCTTGCCGAAATAATTAGGTTCTGAGTGCCATATCTGAGGTCAGGAAGGGGTTTTCCCCCAGGTCAGACTGTACGAAACTATGGATTAGGGTTGTGTTTGAGGGTGGTTGGGTTTTTTTGGCCTTACTCTTCTGCCTGAGGCACCAGACACTTGCAAGTCTAAACTAGTATAAAGGGTGGATTCTCAGTAATTTGAAGTCCTTAAATAATCATTTGTGGACTTCAGTAACTCAGACTGAGGTTATAAGTCTACTACAGCAGTGGGTATGTGACAGTCTGTAGTCTGCAATGTACAGAAGACAAGACTAGATCATCATGGTGGATCCTTCTAGTGTGGAGCGAGTTAATAAACCAGCCTGCCTTATAAACAAAAGGACATGGATTTGTCTGTCTGGATCAAGCTCTGTAAGCCAGAGAACAATCAAAATACATTTACATATAAAGTAAACAAAGAAATTAAGACAGAAAATGGAAGCTTGGCAAGCACACCAAGGGACAGAGTTTCCTTGCTAAAGTAGTATTCTTAGCAATTGAGGCAGACACAATAAAAGGCAGAATATCTGATTTTTACCTTGCCTCATCAGCATTAACTGATGTTCATGTCTAGCTGCTTCCATTTCCGCCTCTAGTTTCTCTTTGGCTTCTCTAATGTTTCTATCAACCTGCTCTCGCTGCTGCTTCTCCATCTCATCAAGAGCTTTCCATCGGGAAGCATACTCAAATTCAAATGTTCCAGGCTGAGCAAAACGTGGGGGCTGCAGTTAAAATGTACAGAAATACATAAATAGCTGCAGTAGCAAACTATATTCCTAATAAAACATTTCAGTTTAACTTCTAACTTTAAATCAAATAGCCAATTTCTGTAATTACAAAAATTCAAATTATTAGCTCTTTTTCAGAACTCAATCCCAAAAATTCATGGTAGGACTCTGCAGGCAGATTGCACTGCATGATCAGAGAAATTGTTGATGCAAATGTATTCATTATTAAGGAAACTTGTTTTGCATTATATTGAATTTTTCTGATGCCTTTACAGGATGTTATTCAACTAAACTAATAACGATCAGGCTGCTAGGCAAGTGGATTATAAACATGATTTTTTAACACCAATGTTAGAAAAAAGATTCTCAAGGCTTCCTGTTTTTCAATATTACTGGCACTCCTTAAAAAACTGAAGTCCATCAAAATTTTAGTTCACAATATCTTATATTCTCAAATGCATATGCTATTGTAACAAAGAGCAATTAACCAAAATATTTATCTTATTTTTAAAATAAATAATTACTAAAAGGCTTACACAGTGCTGCCCAAGTCCAGGCCAGGGAGAGGCTACACACCCAGGCTGCCAGCTTCCTTCTGTTGCCAAGGAAGGGCAGGGAGGAGGGACCTGGGATGTGTACCCTGGCCACTGACTTCGCCTCAGGGCAGTAGGGGTTGTGCAGGCTGCCCACTGGCATTCCGCAGAGGCGGTGGAGGCCGTGCAGTGGCTGGGGCCACAAAGCAACCCTCAGCTGCTCATTGGGGCAGGCCAGGATGTCAGGTCCTGCTGGGCAGTGACTTCTCATTGGGGTGCTTACCGCTCCCCTGCAGTCATTCCAGGCTCTTCCCCTTCCATTTTATGATAAACTGAATTCCAGGCACATCCCATTGTCCTGGCACAACCAAACCCTTACTTTGCTTTAAGCTAGAATAAGAGGAAGCTTCATACCAAATGTGGTGTTCCTATCTCTTATCATTTTGGAGTTCTTGAACAAACAGACTCATGGACAGACAAACACATATTTCTAATATATATAGATATTTTTGCTTATCCTCTGACTAAGCATTTTTGCTCCAGCAATCAGGACTTCTTGGGGACAGTCTCAAATTTCAACACTAAAAGTTCTAAATTAAAAGAACTCTGGTTTCAGCTAATACTCAAGACTCTCGGTCTGCTTTATGGAACCGATCACTGTTACATTTTTAGTCTGAGAAGTCCCAGTGATTCTTGATCGTGCAGTAACTCATGTATAGAATCACTGGAACTATTCAGAGTAAAACTAAATGTGTGCATCAGCCTTATCAAGATTGGGGACTATCCCATTATCTAAATTTGCACTTCATAATCAGGAAAACTTGATTTTACACAAATATCTTATTCACTTCATACCACAAGATAAAATTTCATAAACTTTTGTTCACCAATAATGCAGACCATGTTTAATGAAATCTAAATCTAAATCCAACTTACTTATGATATTGTTGTGTTTTTTGCATTAATTTCTCTGGTAGCCCATCTTCATCATCAAATTGTTCCATAGGCTCTACAACAACAGGTCGAGGTGTTCTGAAATATTAAAAGGATTTTTTTTGTTCAATTTTTATTTGCTATTTTAACCAAGGAAATCTACATTGAAACAATTATATTGCACAATATTGTTGGGAAACATTCAAAAAATACTTAGGTTCTGTTAGCTACAACGCCTTCACATTTAATGAATTTTTTAAAAAGCAGTCTCAAGTGAATACAAGTCAGTCTGGCTTACAAATAAGCCCACTATTTTACCTGGGAAACATTGCACTACTCCTAACAGAAAAATAAATGGATCAATTTAAAGTGTGTATAAAAAGCTAAACAACTGTTTGCAGGCAACAGTACACTCTTTAATGCAGGAACCAAATGTAGTAAAATAGATCTGGTCCATAAAAGAGGCTCCTAGTCCAGTACACTTCCGATAATCCGGCACCTTTAGGACCCAGGGGGTGCCGGATTATCAGATATGCCAGACTATCAGAAGGGGGGGGCTATGTTGGGTCTGGAGTGGGATAGGAGGGGATGCCACCCCAGACTCCTCATAGCCCCCCCTTACAATAGTCCGGCTCTGCCCCAGGCGTCCCTGATTCAGCTGCTGCTGGTCAGTTTCAGCAGCGGCTGAATCCGGGATGCCTGCAATAGAGGAGCTGGGGGGGTGCCGGGGTTGTGCCGCGGG